AATAGGCTGTTGATTTTCTTTACTCATTTCAGTTATTGCCAGCAAAATAGTTGCATGTTTAATCATCTGGGAATTTACCGAGATTTATTTATTTATTTAGACGGAGATCTTGCTGCACACGAACAGCGAGTGAACCCCAGAGAGAAGGGGAACGTTTCAGTGAGGAGCTTCATTGCAGGACAAAGTATACTTTTCTTCTTCTTCCACTGTCTTTATCTCATTCCTACTTATTTACAGAGCATTTACTATTGTGTTCGTCTTGTTTTGTGTGCCATTGTTTGAGGCTCTGTGAGAGAGAAAATGAGTGGGAGAGAGATTTTGTTTGTATTGACCCAAGCTGAGCAGAGCTCGAATGTGTAGTGTGTGCACAGAGGTTTGGTTTCCCAGCGCTGGCCACGCTGCGACTGTGTCAGCACACTCAGACTGAAGCAGTGGGAAGAAGAAATAAGAAAATGTCAAGAACAACATGTTACACAGAAAGACCAAATGTGGGTGGGTTCAATGAGAGATAAAAAAGAGCAATTTGGGCTGAAGTGAAGTAACTTCCAGTTCACTGGAAGTCCGTCCAGACAGCGAGAAGAGTGGCCGCATGTTTGCTCACTCTTCCTGTCCATTCGTTCCCAGAAGGCACCGGCAGTCATGACCTTGTTTATCCTCCCTCTTCAGACACTCCATTGGAGCTGGGTTCATCCGGTTTGATTAGGCAGGCATTTCAGTGCTGTTTCCATGCATGAGCTGCAATCATGAATCAGTGCTAAATATAAGCATATTTTAGGAGGAGCCTGACTGCATTTCTGTGTGTGCAATGGATTCAAAGGAATTTTGTCACGCTGAGTCAGAGAGTAGGTCTGAGTCACGGCCGCAGCGAGCTCGAGTTTCAGGGGAGGTTTTCTGATGCTGGAGCGCTGCTGCACCGATTAAAGACAATTTAGTAAAAGTGCTCACACGCACGCACGCACACACAGAGTGTAAACAAAGAAACACCTCACATATGAAATCCAGAAGTGGTCATATCAGCAATTAAAAATGAAAGCACTAACATAAACAGCAGGAAACCACGTTCGACCTGGATGGCAGTTAAGTCGAGTTTAGTTAAGTTCAGTTTATTTTGTTTGGCATGGTTTATTTTAGTTGGATCCTAGTTTAGTTTAGTGCAGTCGTTCTCAATCTGTTCAATCTGTTCAGTTTCTGAAGACTTTTTATTTTTAGTTTAGTTCATTTTAATTGGTTTAGAGTAGTTAATCCTCAATTTGAGACCAAGAGGAGACACAAACACCCACAATTAGTAAGGAAGCAGTTTGTAATGTGTGTGTTTTTAACTTTATTTAGTTTAGTTCACTTTAATTTAGTCTAATTAAGTTTAGAATGGTTTATTTGATCTAGTTTCATTAGTTTAGCAGGATTTAATTCAGTTGGTCTCTTCTCAACTTATGAAACACTAATGTAAAAACCACAGGGACCGTGTCAGCTTTTCGAGGAGATCCTGTAAATACGATAGCTTTATGTGTTTCAAAAAGTCCCATTCGATGAAAATGATTATGGGAAAGAAAAAGAGAGAGGCTTTTCTGTTTTATCTGTCTGAGTCAAACCACAATATTTAAACGATGCACTCTGAACGGTTTGGAGGGAAGCGTGTTCCCTGGATCTTTGAGCAACCCCGACGCAGACGGTCCTGGTTTAACTTCTGTAATCATTTGTATTTTCTTGGCTTATCAAGTGATTTTTGAGTAGAATTTTAATCTAAAAGAAATGACGAACGTCAACAGAAAGCGAAGAAAGCCGCCAGTCTTCAATCTCAAATACATCAAACCAGCCAGATTAAAAAATAAGAGAATACAACTCTCGAGTAAATGAAAATCTTTTACTTTAAAGTTCTGTTTCAGACCTGTGTGTGTGTGTGTGTGTCTGTGTGTGTGTGACCGGATGCTTGTGTTTTTCTGATGGTTGTTTATTTACTCGAGAAAACGGATGTGATGTCTGACTTCATAGTGCACCTCGCTACTGTAGAAAGCAGCTTTCATCACACCTTGTTCAGTATTAACTGCTCAGGCTACAGTGTGTGTGTGTGTGTGTGTGTGTGTGTGTGTGTGTGTGTGTGTGTGTGTGTGTGTGAGAGAGCACTGCCTGGTCCCAGATAATCCTCCTCTCTGTGTTTTACACATGACTGCTTCTTATTCCCTTCCCACACACACACACACAAGCGCTCTCTCTCTCCCTCTGGCCATCATTGTTACACATTTATTATGGTTTGACCTTTGACCCCGCTGTCACGAATGCCAACAAGCTGCGCTGCTTATCGGAGAGTTAAATCAGTAACTTCATGAGGTTGTTCACACTTCAGCTGTAACATTTTATTAGATTTTAAAGACTTTTATAACCCAAAGACGAGAACATTAAGAAAGGAAGATTTTAAGCTTAGAGAAAAACACGGTCATTTCTCAAAACTCTGAGGATTTATTGAGGAACCTTTGGAGAGTCCTCAGGACCAATATGTTAGACACACTTTAAGTCTCTATCTTCACTGTCCTTTTCTGCTTTTAGTGTGTAGTTTTCGTAGGAGGGGGGCAGGGCCACTAGGTCATAACTCCTCCCCTTTTAGCTCTGATGAATGTAAGGGGCAAGGAAAGAAAGAGAGAGAGAGACAATAGACTTTAATCACTCATGTGGCTGAGAGCTGTTGGCAAACGGAGTTCCTTGAGCGCTGAGAGGGGAGGAAAAAAACAGAAGAAACAGGAAGGGAGAAGACTGAGGTGGACAACTTGAGTGGGCATTTCTCATCAGTCACACCTCTGAGCTGAAGCCAAGACCAGTTTGCAACCTTACTGAGAAGAGAGGAGGGCAAATCTGACATAAGTTCATCCTGAAGGAAACCCTTTACCTCGTCACAGTTCGTAAAGGCCGCAGACGTTTCCATCCACCCTGCCGTCCAAGCTAGAGTATGATCTGCTATCCTCGTCACCCCTGTCGCTGATGCAGGCGATCAGCATGATCTCTCACTACCCTCTGGCCACCTTCCTACCCTGGCCTACAGGCTCCTACCATCACCACTACCCCGACCTGGACTGCACCTTACTACTGGAGGGGGAGGGAGGGGTTGCCCTGCAGAGGTACCAGCCTCGCTCCCCGGAGAGCAGCCCGCGACACTGGGTCAGTCAGAGAATAATCATATCTATCAATTCTTTTGTTTGCACGAAATCTATTTGTATTTCTGGGAAGCACAGACATTTCCAGTCTCCTTAAACAATCTGGCAGCTGCTGGCCTTCGTATGAAGGCCTTCTGTTGTTTGGGAATGTGTGAGGTGCTGAAGTATGTGTGTGTGTACGTGCTGTCAAATGCTGAGTTTTTGGAAATGTAAATGGAAAAGTTCGGGAGCCAGAGAAGAGAGAAAAAAACGACACTGAGAAAAGAAGCTTGGAATTATAAACATTAAAGATACGCACTGAGGAGCAAAGATACAGGTGATGTTTGCCACTTCTGTTTGTCGGATGGTGATCTTGAGAAAGTTGAGGAGAAGCATAGGGAAGGAAAATCTGCAGATGTTACACAGGGACAGCTAACATGTACACATCCTGCATCCAGCTGTCTACACAACAAAAACCACATGAAACACACCTTTAGTTTTCTCCATATATTAAACTAAGAAATCGCTTGGTTAATGTTTTGCCGTCTGTCATATGATTCCTCTATTTGGCCTCTACTTGAGTAAGTTTTATGCAATAATCTGACAGCTCATAGTGAAATAACGCAAACACGACGGTAACCTTTGGTGACACAGACGGGTGTCCGGCTGACCTCTTATGAAACGCAGTAATTCTCATTCATTCGAACGACCCCTTACTGGTCGTTCTGCGAGTGTGTCTTGCTAAATGTTAAGTTAACAGGAGCCATAATGTGTTGGATTTTGCTTTTGTTAAATTTATTCTTCTATTCAGCTCTATTTTTATTCATCTTTGGTGTTTCTCATTTCCCAAAACAGCGTGACTGCCAGAAAATTAGCCGCGGCTTATTCCAGCTAAGCTGTGGCTATTTTTTTTGATGCACACACTTACTTGTGGTATTAATGCTGAAGTGAAAGTATGTTTAGTGTTTTCAGACAGCGCATAGGCACTTATTGGCTTGTAGAGGAGAGAAACTGAGGTCTGAAAACCAACCCGATGAAGCGTCCTTTAACAAAAACAATAAGAGGAAGAAAGAATAAAATCTCCCAGAAGCTGGATTTTTTAACCTAAAATACATTTATTGCAAAATAACTGAAACTTAATAACTCCATGAGGATAAAGGACGAGCAGTGAAAAAGCAGAGAGATGTGCAGACGTTTGAAAACGAAAACTCTGACAACTGAAAAAAATCTGGGTGTAAGAACAGAAACAGTATATTAAAGATCGACAAAGCCACCGCGATGACACCTAGAAATTTAAAAGTGAATGTCGGGAGTGTGAGGCTCAGTCTGAGAACCCGAGGATGCTATGTAAGCACATCAGATGCTGACTCCTCAGAGGGTTTCTGTCTGTTTCCTGCCTGTTTAAGAGTTTATGAAAAAAAAAGTACACAAGAGTTCAATCTAAGCTGCTAGGAAGAACACTGAGTGGTGGAGGGGCCAAACATTTGTTGCTACAGCATTCAACAAGTGCTGGAAACTGATCCAACGAGCAATTCAAAACCCATCACAGTCACTGGAGAAGAAATTCGTGGAAACATTTTTGCGAGTGTAAACAAACTGTATGAAATTACTCTTTTTGCTATTATGATTTCTTCTATTTAGTCCGATAAGATTTGGAAAGTGTAAGATGAGCCATATGATTTCTTTTATTCCATTCGTGTGTGCAGAGAGCAGGCAGGAAGTCAGCTGACTCAGTTCGCAGGAATCTCTGCCATGCTTAGCGGAGAAGGATGCTAATTGTGTTTGGGCCCAGAATTGTACAGGGGTGGGTAACGTCGTTCTTTTAAAATTAGCGCAGCGTTCTCTTTCTTCTTCTCTTGAGCAAGTCCACATGTCTATGGGAGGCTGCATTAGCTGCTACACACTCAAATTCAATTTGAGTGTGTGCAGCGTTGGTTCTGCAGGTTTAGGTTTTGCAAAGGAAAAAGAACACGAGGAGGGAAACACACGGTTCTGCTGGATTCACTGTGATTGCTCTTTTATTGGTAAACTGAGCATCTAACACAGTGCAGTGATGTATTTGTAGTTATTATTCACATTCAGAGGAGACGAGTGTGACACAGTGGTGCCTGAAGACCATCCTCCTCAGTGCTTGTCTGACATCCTGGCTGTCATGTTGCCCCATCACACAGCGCTGTTTCCTGCGATTGTTTGAAGGGGTAAGGATGCTGGAGGTTAGCCCACAGACCTCCTCTGAATGCTCAGGTTACATACATCAGCTCTGCTGTCAGATGCTTATCTGTTTGACTGTTTTTACAGAGCTGCGATTGTCCAAATACTTGGAATAGTCTTTCCATAAAATTATGTAAGGTAAAGAAAAGTATTTGTGCTGCAGCTACTTGCAACTACTCCAAGAAATTCCTTTTAGTCATGTAGGATAGCCTGCACCGAGTGCTTCTATTCTTAGTTTGCTTTGTACCCAGTTACACATGGTTATGAAACCATATCAGTCATAAAGTTAGTGACTGCAGTACTCAGCCTGTTGCAGACAGCTGTCAGGTCCACAGTTCAAGTCAGAGATGAGGGAGGAGTGCTGAGGAGGCAGTCAGTATCAAAGGTTCACTGACAGTTAAACTTACGACTGGAATGTGCACATAAAAAAATGAACTCGATAATAAAATGCATGTTTTTTGTTACATAAAATTCAAATTTGGAGGGTTAGTGGCAAGTAGGAATGAAGGACTCGATAGAAATGTTGTCTTCATTTTGTGGTCTGTAGTGTCCTTTGCACCCTCCTCTTACTCACTGATTAGGCAGTTTAATTAAGCAGCAGGCCCATCAATAAGAGCTCCGGCACTGGGAATATCAGCGGATGGCTTACAGTAACCTGCAGGGCAGTTCAATAACCTCAGCTGGCCATAAGCTGGAAACACAGAAGTGACTTTATACAGGAAAAACAAGAGCAGGCAGTTTTGATGATGCTGTGTTTTCCATTGAAAGAAAGGCAGAAAGCTGAGTTAGCGCTCCTGCTTCCTCTTTCTCGACTTCTTTGGAGAGAGAAGTGCACGTTTAGTGCTGATGCTCCGTGACGTCTCAGTATTTCCAGTCTTCCAGTTCTGCCTCTTACTTGTCATTTGTTTTGATGACTTGACAATGATTTCGACATTTAGGTGATTTGTTCATCCGGATGAAACTAGTTTTTATGCCTTTTGACCTCTTTCTTTTTGAATTTACACAAAAACAGGACCATATCCTCTTCAGCAGCACAGTTCAGTAACTTTCTGACACTACACTGACTTCTCTTTTCTCCTAAATGCGGGCCTCGGCCGTCGTTTTCAGTCAGTCAGCCACGACGAATGTTGTTTACACGTGCTGCGAGTCAAGTTGTCTAGTCGCCTGCAGCTCTGTAGAGGTCCGTATTGTTAACTTCGACCTAATTAAGTCACATAATAGGACTCGTGTGAAAAGTCAATACTAAAGGCATTGCTTCTGTCACCCAAATGTCCATCCCAGGGCAACAACACCCCAGGAGCAGCCTGCTCAACTGGGGCAGAAACTCATCACACCATATGGTAGCTGTAAGGGTGCATGGTGCTGACTGCTGTGCTAAAAGTGGGTTAATATGAGGCAGCACCGGCTTTCATTTAGTTTGTTTTCAATGCTTTGGCAGCGGTGTGTGTGTGTGTGTGTGTGTGTGTGTG